ACCACCCACTGGCCCCAATAAAATAATTCTTTAAAAAAAAACTTACGAAGACATGGTTACTTAGTTTTATACTGAACAAATGATATGAAATTGGTATTGGAAAAAAATAATAGATATATAGTTACCTTGCTGGACCAAATCCTATGTAAATGTGGGAGCAAGAACTATATACATGGGGAATTTGGGAGACTTGGCTTCTAATTCCTGAGCAACTATAAATTAAAGATGGGACTTTGGGGGCCAGCAGTTAGCGTAATGGCTGTCGCTGAACTCCCATGTATTCAACCCAGTGGCTTAAACTCATGCCAGACACATGTGCGTGCATGCCCAAGACCCCGAGAGGAGATGAAGAGGAGAAGAGCTTGTGGCATGGCCATCCCTCCTGGGGTGTGATTTCTCACTTTCTGTATCTCTTTCTGGCGAGTGCACGTACCCTATAGCAATAACCTCTCAAAAAAAAAAATTTTTTTTTTTGATCAGCAAAGAATTATTATTCCAGGGCCGGCAGGTAGCATGGTGATTGAGGGCGCTGGATTCCCATATGGCTGACCATGGTTCAAGTTCTGGATGTGGCAGCTTGCTTTCTCACTTTCCCTTTCTCTCTGGTCAAATTAAAAAATAATAACAACATGGGGCTGGCAGGTGGTGTAGTGGTTAAGGGCTCTGGACTCCCTCATGGCCAACTGTGGTTTGAGTCCTGGACCCGACTGGCAGCTTGCTTTCTCTCTTACCCTGCGCGCTCTCTCTCACTCTGTCCCTCTCTGGTAAAATGAAAATAAATAAAATGAAATAAAAATTATTTTAAAAATAATAATAATAACAAATCTGGGCCAGCAGGTAGCATGGATTCCCACATGGCCAACCACAGTTTGAGTCCTGAACCAGTGGCTTGCTTTTTCACTTTCCCTCTCTATCTCTGTCCCTCTCTGGTCAAATTGAAATAAACAAATGAATAAATTAAAAAGTAAAATAATTCTAAAAAAAACCCAAATGGAATGAAATAAATAATTCTCTTAAAAATTATTCCAGAAAATTAACTAAAGATTTGAAATATCTTTTTCTTATTTCTTTTTTTAATATTTAAAGAATTATTTATTTGATTTATTATTAATATTATAATTCACCAGAGATCACCAGAGAGAGAAAGAGAGAGAGAGACGGAAAGTGAGAAAGTGAGCCACCAGGTCCAGGACTCAAATCGTGGTGAAACATGTGGGAGTCCAGCACTTTAACCATCCTGCCACATGCTGGCCCCTTGTTTCTTCATATTTAGATTTACATATAGTAAAACTTGTGACATTCAGTTCTATGAGTTATAGCTTATGCAGAGATTCTTGTAACCACCATCATAAATAGAATATAGAACAACTAAAAACCCCAAAGAATTCCTCCCTGTTAACTCTTCTGTCTCAGACTTTCTCACACCCATAACCAGTGACAACTACTGGTCACCTTTAATCCTGTATAGTTTTGCCTTTTTCAGAATGTCACATAAATTGGAACCAGCGTTAGCGTAATGGCTATGTCGCTGGACTCCCACGTAGTCGACCGCGGTTCGTGTCCTGGACCCAGTAGCTTAAAACTCACGCTGGGCGCATGTGCGTGCATGCCCAAGATCCTGAGAGGAGAATGGAGGAGAAGGGATTACGGCGTGACCATCTCCCCTGGGGGGTGATTTCTTGCTTTCTGTCTCTCTGTCTCTCTCTGTCTGGCTGGTGAGCGCATGCGCCCTATAACAAAAACCTCTCCCAGAATATCACTTAAATGAATTCATACTGTATGTAATCTTTTCAATCTGCTTGATTTCACTTAGTACAATTCCTTTGAGGTTCATCGACATTGTTGCAGTTGCATATATATTTTCTTTAAGAATTATTTTATTTAACTTTATTTTATTTATTTATTTTAATTTGACCAGAGAAGGACAAAGTGAAAGAGACAGAAAGGGAGATAGAAATTGAGAAAGTGGGACCAGCAGTTAGCGTAATGACTATATCGCCGAACTCTCATGTAGCCGATCATGGTTCGAGTCCCAGGCCCGGTGGCTTAAACTCATGCTGGGCATGTGTGCATGCCTGCCCAAGATCCCGAGAGGAAAATGGAGGAGAAGGGATTGTGGCATGGCCATTCCCCCCCTGGGGGGGCGATTTCTCGCTTTCTATCTCTCTGTCTCTCTCTGTCTTTTTGGCGAGCGCACATGCCCTTATGGCAAAAACCTCTCCAAAAAAAAAAGGAGATGTAATTAGTTCTGTGGCACATCATCTTTTTCTTTTGAAAATAATTGTTTATTTAATTTCATTTATTCATTCATTCCATTTTTTAAAGAAGTATTTTATTTAACTTTATTTATGCATTTTTTTATTTATTTTCATTTGACCAGAGACAGAGTGAGAGAGAAAGTAGAAAGCAAGTCGCCACTTCTGGGACTTGAACCGTGGTCGGCCATGTGGAAGTCTAGCACCTTTAACCACCATGCCACCTGGCAGCCACCCCATTCATTTATTTTTAATTTGACCAGAGAGAGAAAGAGAGAGAGAGAAAGTGAGAAAGCAAGCCACCAGGTCTGGTACTCGAACTGTGGTCGGCCATGTGGGAGTGTCTAGCATCCCAACCACCACGCCACTTGCTGGTCCCACATCTTTTTTCTTTTTTTTCATGGAAATAAGACCTCTGTATCAGCTAACTTATTTGCCATTTGTTTCTTTCTAATAAATATGGCCTGTGGAAAAACTATGGTAATTGAGTGCATCTCGCCCCTCTACTTAGCAGTTTTCAGTGACTTCCCATTGTGTATAAATTAAGGTCAAACTCCTCAACCGAACTTCTCTCAGAGCATATTTTCATTCTTATCTCTATCAACTCCCTCAAGTAACCTGCTTTCAAGCCAAAATGTGCTATTCATTCGTCCCTGCGACGTTCTTCAGCTTTGCCATGTTGTGCCTACTCTTCAAGGACCAGGTCAAATGTGACCTTCTACATGCAGTTTTTCCTAATACCTCTTTTTCTTTTCTCAAGGCTGCCCCTAAAGTGGATTTAAGCTCCAGATTACACACATAGCAGGTTTGAGTACTATTCCTGTGACATTACATCTTGCCTTAAGGTAAAGGAGTCTGTGTACCTGTCATATCTTCTTCCCGCTCCTCTAATCTTACTCTCCCATCCCCTATGAATTGTGTAACTCCTTCAGAGAACAGGTATGTCTTTCCCATCTTTGTGAAGCATAGGGCACAAAGAATACCACCTTCAACTTCTATTAAAGTGACACTAAATGTCGTATTACGAATAAATTTCTGGCCTTGGAAGACAGGAAACAAAGAAGAGTAGACATCTGAAAACTGAAAAAAAAGTATATATGTCAAGCCACTGGCATCTGGGGCTTGAACCATGCAGTTGGCCATGTGGGATCCAGCTGCCTTAACTACCACACCATGAACTGGCCTAGTTTTTTATTTTTTTATTTTTTGAGAGTTTTTTTGCTACAGGGTGTGTGCACTCACCAGAAAGACAGAGAGAGACAGAGAGACAGAAAGCAAGAAATCACCCTCAAGGGGGTATGGCCACACCACAGTCCCTTCTCCTCCATTCTCCTCTTGGGATCTTGGGCACACACGCACACGCACCCTTCATGAGTTGAAGCCACTGGGTCTGGGACTCAAACCGTGGTAAACTTCATGGGAGTTCAGCAACATAGCCACTACGCCATCTGCTGGTCCCAAGTTTTTGATGTTTTTAAGATTGTTTTCTGGGACAAGAAGATGATGTAATGGTTATGTCACTGGATTCATATGTAGTCGACTACGGATTGAGTCTCAGACCCAGCAGCTTAAAACTCATGCCGGGTTTGTGTATGAGCATGCCCAAAATCCTCAGAGGAGAGTGGGGGAGAAGGGATGTGGCATGTCTATCCCCCCCTAGGGGATGATTTCTCACTTTGTGTCTCTCTGTCTCTCTCTGTCTATCCAGCGAGTGCACGCGCCTTATAGCAAAAAAGAACCTCTCTCAAAAAAAGAGATTGTTTTTCTAATTACAGATTGGCACATGAATTAATCCAGAAAACTTGGAAAATAAATTAAAGTGTAAAGGCAGAACACATACCATTTACACATATGCAAATACTTAGAACCTTACCACTCTAAATCACTATCTTCCTATTCTTTTTCTTTTTTTAAAAAGAGTTATTTTATTTAACTTTATTTATTTTAATTTGACCAGAGAGGGAGAGGGAGAGGGAGAGGGAGAGAGAGAGAGAGAGAGAGAGAGAGAGAAAGAAAACAAGCTCCCAGACCCGGCACTCAAACCACC